CTTTTTCAGTCAGGAAAGGTAGACAGGGCAGTGCTGCAGGAACTAAATGAAAAACTGGAACTGGCAGAGCAGGCCCTGGCTGCCAAGCAGCTCCAGATGGATGAGATGAAGCAGACCATTGCCAAGCAGGAGGAAGACCTAGAAACCATGAGTGTCCTCAGGGCGCAGGTAAGGGACACTCTGAAAATGCCCTCACGTTCACTATTTCACGTGGGAAAATAATGTGTTTAAAGTGCTTATTTCATTTTGTACTTTTTCATCCTTGTGTTTTCCAACATTTTATTAAAGGATATTCTGTTGTTAGGTCCCATCATCAAGTCGGTTCTTACCCAAAGCAGCCCTTTGTCCAGCAGAACAAGACATTGCTTTACCAAAACACATGTCCTTTACCATCCTCACCATCCTTGCTATATTTGAGTCCATTTTTTACAGCCACTGTGATAGTCTGTCTTGTTGAAAACCTTCCTCTTTCACAGACCCTCTGCTTTACCAGGCATGATTCACTTCTCCAGGGGACTGTTCCATTCAGATAACATGTCTATAGTAAATGAGACAAGTCTGTCTGGTAGCCTACTAGCAAGAAGCTGCACTGCAGTCCTGAAGGCATATGGTTCAGGGCCGCCAGCTGCTCCACAGGAGCAAGGATGGACAATCTCCTCATGTGTGATTAACTGCCCCTTGAAAGCTCATCAGAGGGTCAGCTGTGAGTCAGTTCCAACTCGATGGTATATAACAACAACAAACAACATATTGTAATCAGTATGTATGGTTTATTCAGTATTCTTCCCCAACATAAAAATGCGAAGGTATCAACTCTTTTTTTAGTCTCCTTGTTAATTATCCAGCGTTTGCTGGCATGTGAGATAATGGAAAATACCATGACTTAGGTCAGGCACAACTTAGTCCTCAGAGTGACATATTTGCTTTTTTTTTTAACATATTTGCTTTTTTGACACTTTAGTGAGGCCTCTTGAAACAGATTCACCCAATGCAGTATGCATCCTCTGATTTCTTGACAGTGGTTATGGATCCAAGCAAAATGCTATTCTTGATAACTTAAGTCTTTTTCTCTTTCTATCTTAATGTTTATTGGTCGAGTTGTAAGGATTTTTGTTTTCTCTATGTTGAAGTATTCTATGCTGTTGTCTTTGATCTTCATTAGTAAGTGCTTCAAATCACTTAACTTTCAGCAAGCAAAGTTGTATCATCTGCATATTTCAGGTTGTTAATGAGTTTTCCTCCATTCCTGCTGTGTTCTTCTTTTTGGAGTCCTACATCTTTATTATTTGCACAGATTAAATAAGTATGATTAAAGGATACAATTTTGTTGCACACCTTTTTATTAATTTTAATCTGTGCATTATTCCTTGTTCTGTTTTTTAATGACTGCCTCATCATCTATGTATAAACTCCGCGTGAGTACAATTAAGTGTTCAGGAATTCTTGTTCTTCCAGTGTTATCAAACATGTGAAAAGTGCATGTATTTTTAGAAAAGAGTCCAAGAAATTAACATAAAGCAAACAGTGGAGAAACCACTAATCAAATCAGCAAAAGAGCATTATCAGCCCTTTAAGAGCCCTCATTTTCCGTCCTCTATCCCGTCTACTTTACTGTTTTTGTTATTGTTATGTGCCATCAAGTCAGCTGTGACTCATAGTGACCCTATGCCTGTGCACAACAGCTGTGAACATTGCCCTGTCCTGAGCCAATCTCACTGACTCTGACATCTAATCCGATCACCCCAGTTATTGAATCACTCCATCTCATCTGGGGTCTTCCTCTCCTGCGCTGTCCCTCCACCCTTCCGAGCATGATGTCCTCCTCCAAGGACTGGTCCCTTCTGGCCACATGCCCTAAGTATGTGAGATGGAGCTTCAATTTACTACTGAAATTAAAACTGAAACCAAACCTACTGTCTTCCCAGTAGATTCTGACTCCTGGTGAGCTTCCTTGTGCTTTCTACGGCTGTAAACCGTTATAGAGGGACATTGTAATTCTCCCAAGGAGTGGCTATCCCCCTGTGAGAGCTAACAAAAAAGCTAAAAACTAACATTGAGCTTTTGACTTTACTTGAACTTTATCTAAATTGAGCCATATCTTTTATAGTTTTTTAAAAAAAGATTAACTTCCCATCAATTTTAAGTTTTTGAGATTCATCAATGTTCTAGTAATCATGGTGGTGGTGGTTAAATGCCATCGAGTCGTAGGTGACTTACAGCAACCCTATGAACGAAAGACCTGAACACTTCTATAACTCCCTCCGTTTCTCCAAGTTCATAGGGTTTCCGGAGGCAAGCTATTTTGGAAGTGGATGCCACTCCTGCTTCCAGGTTTGTTTTAATTGGGAAGCCCCACCAAACACTGGCCACCATGGGTGACCAATATCGCATTTGGCACATCAAGGTCACAGTGTTCAGCTTCACAGCAACCACGAGTTACCTCTGTACAGCAAATCGACAGACCAGTGCTATACCACCTAGAAGATATTATTTATTACCTTGTAAGAAATTATCTTAAAATTTAGCAATTCAAAGCAAATTAACATTTATTAACTCACAGAGTTAGTATGAGCCAGAATCCAGGATCCTCTTAGCTGAATGGTTCTTCCTTAAAATATGGGCCTGACGATGGGGCCACTTGAGTGCCATCATGACATGACAGGTGGCTTCCTCCAGAGCAAGCAGTTCAAAAGAGAGCAAAGCCACCATGTCTTTTGTGACCAAGTCTCAGAGCTACCCACCATGATTTCTACAAAATCCTAGTACACAGGTTGACTATATCAATTTGAAGATTAGAGGGGACAGCACATGGTATAAATGATAAGAAGTAAGGCTCTCTCCTAGATGCTGGCCACCACACATGAGAAGTGTTACGGAATATGGAAAGATCATGAGCTCAGTCTAGGTTCAGATTCTAATTTGGCCTCTTTATCAAATTGCCTAAAGTTAAGTGCTATTAAGCTTATTAGTAAAATCAGGATAGCAACTCTACAGTCTCAGGATTTTTTATAAGATAATGTAAAGAATCTGACATATTAGGAATTCAGTAAATAACATGTATTTGGGGTTAGTTAGCCTAATACCAGTTTTTATAAATATACCTGGCAGAGTGAATAAATCATTTACGTTGTTGTTGTTGTTGTTATGCACCGTTGAGTCGCTTGTAACTCATAGTGACCTCGTGTACAACAGCCCTACACCCTGCTCTGTCCTGTGCCAATTGCACTGTCTCTGACACTCCCATCCCAATTATCCCAATCACTGAATCAATCCACCTCATAGAGGGCCTTCCTCTCCTGCGCCGTCCCTCCACCCTCCCAAGCATGATGTCCCTCTCTAAGGACCGGTCTCTCCTCACAACATGTCCAAAGTATGTTAGACGGAGCCTCAGAATCCTTGCCTCCAAGGAGCCACCCGGTTTAACCCTCTCCAGGACAAATCTGTTTGTTTTCCTAGCAGTCCACGGTACTCTCAATACTCTTCTCCAGCACCACAACTCATTTACTATAGTTGTTAAATTTGAATGTAATTTCTTTTTAAATTAAGTGTTTTACCATACTATTGAGAAATGCAAAGTTTTATTTACTTAATGGTCTGTGTAAACAACGTGTGACAGTATAGCTACTAGGTTCTAATTGTTTACAGCCCACATACTAACATATTAACTTTGACCTTTTTGGTCCAAGTTTGGATATAAGTGGAAAATCAAGATCGTTATACTGGCTCCTTGCAGGAATGTGTACCTCTCACAGCACACACTAGAGAATGGAGCAGATCCACATTCACCTAGATATTGACTCCTGGATGGTTTTTTTCCTTTTGACAGATGGAGGTTTACTGTTCTGATTTCCATGCTGAAAGAGCCGCAAGAGAGAAGATTCATGAAGAAAAGGAGCAACTGGCATTGCAGCTGGCAATTTTGCTGAAAGAAAATAATGTTTTTGAAGATGGAGGCAGGTAAGATAACAAGAGGAAGCCATAGCACTTGGACTACTGAAGAAGTGATCTGTCAAAGAAATTTTATGTTTTGACCTGGAAGAATTGCTCAGTATATTTCATTTGATCAGATTCCTAACACTGAGCTTGGATTACTGTAAGGCTTTATAGTCTTCTGGGAACATAATTGAGTTTTTTGCTTTTAAAAGATGGCATCATATATTCTGATGTCCTATTTTGGCCTTGTCAGGGATAAAATATTAACAATACTTCATATTTTTAATGTATTTTATAACAAAATGCTACTAAAATTTCTTCTGATTTTTTAAAAAATTTGTTTTGACAATTTAAAATGGCCTACACCAATATGTACCCCAGGCAGAATTGGTAGCTACTAACATTTACTTCAAATTTTTTTTTTTTTAATTAAAGGGGGAAAACACCAACTATGGTTGTATATGTGAAATCTCCTTTGTTCTCACTGTTGTTTGTTGTTAAGTCAGAAAAAAACCATACCTGACCCTCCAGCAGGTTTTCAGAGGTAGTAAATTGTATGGGAAGAGATAGCACATCCTTCTCCCATGCAGTGTCTGGATTTGAACCTCATTCCCTTATCATGTATTTCCCTCTGCCCTTACCTTAGACTACCAAGATTTTGATATGTAGCCTTTTCATCTATTTCATACATTCTTTTTCCTCCCTCATATGTTTATACCTTTATACTAGCTTAAAAGGGGAGCTCTCGTGCCTGATGGTGAGAATCTGCACTGCAATCCCAAAGGCATGTTATTTAAATCCACCAGCTCTTCCACAGGGAAAAATAGTCTCCTCCCATGCAATTTGTTGCCTCTGAAACCCCCCTGGAAGGTCAGCTATGAGTTAGTTCCAACTTTACAGGACACAACAACAATAGCTTAAAATAAGATAAATTGATAATATTAATTTCCTGTGTTTAAGTTGTAAAATGGTTACTATATGGTCACACCAGAGAATAGGAAGTTCATATTCATCTAGTTAATAACTTCTATATCATTCTGCAACTTTCTTTACACAAAATTGCAATTTTGAATTCTTTTTTTTAGTAGAGATCAATTTTTTTAACACATTTCTTATTTTATTTCTCACATATAGCATAGTAGATTCCTAACATATTTCTTATTTTATTCTTCACGTATAACATAATAGATTCCTAAAATATTTCTTATTTTATTTCTAACCTATAATACAGCAAGTTCTTAACATTTTTCTTATTTCTAACATATAGCAGATGCCCAATATATTTCTTATTCTTTTTTTTAATAATTTTAATGAACATTTACAGAGATTTTGGATTTCCATTTATTCATTGCTACACTTCTCTCCCCACCCAGCCCTCCCCCACCAATTTTTAATTCTTTTGATAATTGAAGATTTAATTTATTCCATTTAATTCTGTTTGGTGTCTTTTCAAAATATGATTCTTTTTCCTAATCTATTTCCTTGTGAATTGACAGAATGGTTATTTCCTGATTGTATTATCTTAATTTGTTATTTACTTTTACTGAATAGTATTTTAGTGTCAATGATAGTTAAAACCCAAATTGGTCTCTAGTTCTGACTTGACATTGTAGTTCAACTCTTCTTTTATTCCCTTTATACTTCTTCTGAAAATGCCTGCTTGATGTTGGTTATATGTTTGGAGTTTCTACACACAATGCTGCCTTTAATCCCAGCAGGCAATCGCTGATGGAGATGCAGAGCCGACATGGGGCCAGAACAAATGACCCAGACCAGCAAGCTTACCTTGTTCAAAGAGGTGAGTGCCTTGGACTCAAATTTTTCAGATTTCCAGGGAGTTACAATATCCTAAGAAGAGGATGCTTAAAGAAAAATTTAAAAATCCAATGCAGTGGATTCCAAATCAGTCTTCCAACAGTGTAGCATCCATCAGTCTTATTTCCACAGTACCACGTTCTCTACCCATTGTGTGAAGACCAGAGGCTTTACCCTGGCAATTAAGCTGCAGCACAGGCAGTCCTTAAAGCCTTCTAAGATAACTCAGTCTAGTTCCATACAGGTATTAGGCAAACAGCCATTCATTGTTACTTGAACTTGTTCCAAATTTTTATACTAGCATACTACTAACCTTCACCTACTCTTCCCTCATCGCCTCTCTTCCTCTAGTCTTTTTTCAATGAGCTTTTTCCTCATCTTTAAGATTCACTTCGTAAACCATCTCCATAAACCTCTCTCTTCTGAATTTTCAAAGTATCTTATTATTACTCTGTTTTTGTACCACTCATCTGCTATTTTATTACTGTTTTAGTACCATTCATCTGCTATTTAATGTCTTTTAAATATGCATTTACTCTGTTGAATTAGAAACTTTCTAGGAGTTTACCCATTCACTCACTGCATGCAAATAATAATGTTACAGCTACGAAGATGGCGCCGAAAGCGAAGAAGGAAGCCCCTGCCCCTCCCAAAACTGAAGCCAAAGCAAAGGCATTGAAGGCCAAGAAGGCAGTCCTGAAGGGCATTCACAGGCAAAAAAAAGATCCGCACATCACCCACGTTCCGGCCGCCTAAGACGCTGAGACTCCGACGGCAGCCCAAATACCCCCGGAAGAGCGCTCCCAGGAGAAACAAGCCTGACCACTATGCCATCATCAAATTTCCCCCGACCACTGAGTCAGCTATGAAGAAGATAGAAGATAACAACACACTTGTGTTCATTGTGGATGTCAAGGCCAATAAGCACCAAATTAAACAAGCTGTAAAGAAGCTCTATGACATTGATGTGGCTAAGGTCAACACTTTGATTAGGCCTGATGGAGAGAAGAAGGCCTATGTTCGACTTGCTCCTGATTATGATGCTTTGGATGTTGCCAACAAAATTGGGATCATCTAAACTGAGTCCAGCGAGCTAATTCTAAATGTAATAAATTTTTCTCACAAAAAAAAAAAAATAATGTTACATCAGGAGACAAAGGACAGCTGTTAGATGAATATTGAGTTCTCCTGAGCCTTGAAATCTCAAACAGCACAAGAAAAGAAAAGAGAAAATAAAGGTTAAAATGAAGAGTCAACAGTCCCTTCTAAGAATCTAGTTATCATCTACAGTAAGGATTGGCAGACTACAGCCCACAGACCATCTTGCCTGCCACATATTAATAGATTTTTATTGGAACACAGTCATGCTCATTTATTTATGTCTTATCCTGGCCTTCTCTTATGCTAGAGTGGCAGAGTTGAGTAGTTGGAATGGATGTCATATGGCCTACAGTCTTCAGTATTGACTCTGATCTTTTTCATAAAAAAATTTATTGACACCTCCCAGCCTGTCTTGAGCAATGAAACATTTAGAAACCTTCCTTCAGAAATCATATGTTGTGATAAATATTTGTATTTTAAAATGCCTTTAATATTTGCCTAATTCAAACTATAATAGTGTTACATGGTTTTTAAATTCAAATACTATATACCCAGAAACAATTAACTATGCTAAAAATTATCTCTGCTGTCATTCTGTAATAATAAATATTTTGGGGGGCTGAATCAAAGTCTAGGGAATTTTCCAAGGCTTTGGAAAACCAAGTGGTTTGCATAGGTCCATAAAGATCAAATCAAGGAGATGATTCAGTGGTCAAAAGCAGTTTCCAGCGTTGGTCAGTTCAAAGCTGTTTCACACATTCTTTCATTTAGGCCTGAACCTCAGTATGGCTAAAAATTGAGGGAAATTACAGGACTCTTCAATTCTTGAAGCCCTGGTTGCTTAGTTGCTGAGCACTCCACTACTAACAGAAAGATTGGTCTTTGAATCCACCCTGTGATTCTGTGGCATAAACCTGTGGCAACCTGTTTCTGTATAGATCACAGCCTTGGAAAACCTTTGGAGTGTTTTTACTGTGTTATTGAGGATGCTGTGAGTCCAGATTGTCTCTGTAGTACCCTAAACACATGTTTCTCCAATTCCTCTCTTTCACTTACCACATGGATAATTCATTTTCTTTCTTAAGACCCCTCTCAAATGGAACCACTCTTAGCCTGGAAGCCTTTCTTAATTAACTGAATTGTCTCAAATATGGGCCTCTCTCAGTACCACTGCTTAACTACTTGTACAGAACACAGTCACAGCCTTTACCACATTACAAGATCACTGTTAGTATTCTTGCCTGATATCCCCACCACATCTGTATCCCTGTGAATAGCAGAGTTTCTTGCACCTCCTATCAAACTCACAAGTAACTGCTGAATAAGCATAAGTATTGTCCCTGCTTTTGAGAAGGTACATACTGTTCTAGGGTTCTTCTAAGGCTTTCTTCATCCCCTCCTCCCCGCATTTGTTACTCTTCCTTTTGCTTATATCGTCATCCATTTCTCTCTTCTCTCAAATATTTCAGTTTTTACTAGTATTTTCATATCTCTAGAACTAAAACCGTGGAATTGATGTGGAACAACCTTAATTAATAGGATGGAATTAATGAAATCCTAAGAAAATAAAGATGCACAGTATTACCATTTCAGGATAATTTTTGTGTATGTATGGTGATTATTTCACCTAAATAAACAAAATCAGTGTTCATCTTGCACTACTAGGTACCAAGTTAATGTTAAAATTAGCCCATCAGTTGCTAAACTGAAAAAACAAAACTGCAAACAATGTGAAACTAATGGACTAACTTTCATTTAATGATTATTTTTAGGAGCTGAAGATAGAAACTGGCTGCAACAGCAGCAAAGGAATATTCCAATTCATTCTTGTCCCAAATGTGGAGAAGTCCTGCCTGACATAGATACGTTGCAGATTCATGTTATGGACTGTATCATTTAACTGATATTTCACCTTCCCAAACTGTTGGTAAATGTCTTATTTCCACCCCACCCCCAGGCTTGTACTGTTGTGTTCTTTGTTTTTTTTCCCCAAGTTTTTATGTCTTTTTCTGTTTTTTAGAGTACAGAATATGTATATATTCTAAAGAGAACTCTTCACGTGAATTTCCTTAAGCTCAGAAAAGTAGAATCCTAAGCATACCACTAGTCTTATAATGAATTCAGGTTTTCTTATATTCAGTTTATGTGAACACTGCACTGCACTATATCATGTGACAGAGTTAATGTCATCAGATAGATAGAAGAAACATAACTGATAACTTTGAAAATCCTTTAAAGAAGAAGGGGAAAAAATGAAGTCACAGACATAATCAAGAAAAATGTCATTGAAGTATTTTTTTAATAAATTATTTTGTTATTTTTCTTCACTCATTTAAAATTCATCTATCTGAGGTTGTGTGTATACCTGTGTGTATTTTAGTATTATTGCAACCACAGTAATTGTACCAAAGCTAGGACATGGCTCTTATCACATAAGCACTGTGACTTTTTTACTTGATATCAGGACAAGTGAAAAAAAAATACTGGCATTTTTGAAGTAGAGATCATTAGTTTCACTTGATGTTATATAACCATTCATAGTGTGAAGAAGTTCACTTTGTTCGCTCATTGTCCTGTAGATATATGAACTTGTACAGTAGTTTGCTTGTAAAAAAAAACACCTATTCAATTTTTTTCTGGATCAGGTTACATACTTATCATTACAAAAAAAATGGTTGTTGCAAAATAAAATTTTGCTTATGAATCTTTTCTATTCTTCATATATGATATGACTCATTTCATAGAGTTCATTTTCTGTCTTAAGTTTAATAATATCTGTTTGGTTAATTGTATGAGAAAATCTCTTTTTCAGAGAGTGGAACATGTTTGAATTAGATGTTGTTTTTACTAAGGAAGTGACTTGATAGATTTTGGTTACCAAGAATAGCCCTTATTGAAGCAGCCATAAAAATAATGGCTTTATTATACACCTACATTCTAAAAACATTTAAAAGCAGATTAAAAGATCTCCTTTGTTTGGATTTGTGGCCAAGATCTTTCATAGGCACACTTGATCATGTTGCTGTTGTGGTTACATACCTTCAAGTGGAACTGACCCATAGCTGACCCTCCTGCAGGTTTTCAAAGGAACTAATCACACAGGAGGAGATTGGCCATTCTTCTCCTGTGGAGCAGCTGGCTTCTTTGAACCACTTGCCTTTGGGACTGCAGTGCAGATTCGTACCACTGGGCAGAGTTCCACACTTGCTCATATAAATATTTAAATAGTTGTTATTATTATTAATAATAATAATAGTTAATGATTAAATATCAATATTTAAATAGTTAATAATATCTTCACACAAAGATAACACACTAAAAGTTCAATAGTATTTTTTAGATTAAACCCCACCTCATTCCACCCCAGGAAAAATGTAGAAATATTTCTAAAATAACTGTGGACATTTTGCTTTTCTTTTTTTTTTAATTTTTATTTCTTTTTCTTTTCTGACATTTTGCTTTTCATTTCTTACTCATAATTTCTAATCTTTTTTCCTTGCCATTTGATATTGGCAAAAATAGCTTTCAATAATATCCTAAATAGAAAAGCAAACCAAATAGTCTCTTACTTAAATTATTGGAAGATATCTTTTTATTTTGTTCAAGTGAAAATATAAACAAGTTCCAAGCTCTGGAATAATAACATGAATGACTATATTAAGCTTGTGATAAAACTGCTTGATAATTAGAAGCATAACAGATGAAGGAAAGTGAGTTCACATGTTTTGTTTAAAGCAAAGCTATTGTTTTAATGGACTCAAATAGGGTAATCAAGTCGAAAACAATGCATCTTTTATCTAATTAGTTTATACTGACACCACTTCAGAGGACTCATACCATATACCAGTTAATTATACCTCATAGTAACCTTGACCTCTCTCTTCCAGGGCCTGTCATTTTGTACACTTAAAATCTGGTTAAATGGAATGGAGCTTTGAGTATTGGAAAGAACCATGAAGTACGCAATGAAAATGTCATGATTGAATAATGTTAGAGAAATAACCCTTCAAAGGTTATATTTTAAAATAACTCTTTTTTAATTCATTTATTTATTTATTTTTCATTTCCGTGAACATCTACAGAGATTTTAGAATTCATTCATTGTTGCACCATGAGATTATGTAGAACATATTTATAACACATTGTGTTTGTGTGTGTGTGTGTGTGTGTGTGTGTGTGTGTGTGTGTGTGAGATAAACCAAGAACTGGTATGAAGATTACCTAACATTTTCATTCGACTCAGAATGAAAGAGCCTAATTTGAGATTGCTTTTCATGTAAAATTAACTTTATAATGCCATCATTAATCAGTTGGGAAAACTGTTATTAAAGAGTTGTAGCTTTTAAGTGTATAGTCAATT